CTGTGGGGTGTGTGGTGGCTGTGGGGTGTGTGGGGTGTGTGCTGGCTGTGGGGTGTGTGCTGGCTGTGGAGTGTGTGGTGGCTGTGGGGTGTGTGCTGGCTGTGGAGTGTGTGGTGGCTGTGGGGTGTGTGCTGGCTGTGGGGTGTGTGCTGGCTGTGGGGTGCACAGTGTCTGTGGAGTGCATGTTGGCCAGTGGCCTTCCTTTGGGTGAGCCCCATCTGGGGTCTCTGTTTAGCTTGAGCCTTTATACCAACTTGAGATGCTTGAAAGATGCTGTGAATTGCAGCTTATTTATCCTTCTGCCTACGGTTGTGGTATTTTTCACATTTAAACTGCAGCAAAGTTCTGGGGACAATGTGTGCAGAAGCCACAGCTCCTACCAAAGGTACAGTCACGGTGCAAGAGACGATGTGGGCGTTTCTGAGGAGTTTTTTTGGCTGAAGCACGAACGTTCGTGCCATGGCGCTGAGACTAACCTCACCCTCTCCATGCAGGGACTTGACTTTCATAAGACAAGCTTGTCTCAGAGAGGCCAGTCCCCCTGCATCGTTTCTGCCATGATTCTGCTATGTGAGCACAACTGCCGGAGTGCCCGTGAGAGGAGGAGGAGAGGAAGCGGCATCCTCGGCCGCCACAGTCGTAGCTGCAGGAGGGGTCCTTCGGCTTCCTCCCTTCAGCTTCCTCCCTTCCTCTCTACCATTTGGCAAACTCACCCGTTCGTGTCAGGCTGTTTTAAATTTATGGATTTCTTTTAAAACAAGATTGTATTTACTGTGGCCTTGTCGACTTTGGAGGCCTTTGGAGACCCAAAGAGGAGCAATTAAGGAAACCTGTGCACCTGACCTCACCTTCCACCCACATGAGCTGCCAGCTAGTTCCCTGGTGGCTGAGCTCACAGGGGCTGCCCCAAGAGAGAGGCTCCTTTCCTGCCTACAGAGGCCTGGCTTAAAAGGTGGCGGCCCTCATGGTCTTCCCTGCCCAGGAGAATGGGGTCCTTTAGCGAGAGGATGGGAGCTGGAGGGACGGCCGGCTTAGCCCCAACAGTGGCTCCCATCACCACAAGCCCTGTTCCTGCTGGGGGATGCCAATGTCTCCACCTTCTGTGTTCAAGGGTGGGGAGACCCTCCAGCCAGGCAGGGCAGGTGGGGTGGTCATCTCGCGCCGGGCCTCCCTGGTGGAGCCACTGCAGGGCTGTCCTGATGGCCAGATTCTCTGTGCCACCTGCTTTGTTCTCCTTTCATGCAAATATGACATTTGGTTCCAGCGCGTGTCCTCCCCAGCCTCCCTGTCACCCCTGCCTTTCCCTCTGGCTGCCTGTGGCTCTGAAGCAGGCCCTGTGACTTGGAGGTGCTTTGCAGGCACCCACTACCCTGCTGGGATGATCCTGGAGCCCGAGCCCGCACTGGCTTTTCAATTGCCACCCTATGAAGCTGCAGAACCACAGGGAAAGGAAATTGAGGAACCTTAGGAATTTTAAACCTGCTCTCCTGATTGGCTGGGTGAGGAATGTGGTGTGCACTCAGGTTACGGCCAGAGAGAAAGGCCCGGGGCCCACCTGACTCTGGGCCACCTGAGCCTCCTCAGGTCTTTGGCCAGCACTGTCCTGCCCATGGTAGTCAGGGTTCCAATGACTGCGGCTTCCTTCTCTCTGTGGCTTGGACACACTGTTGGCCATGTCTCCATTTCCTCATCTGCGACTGGGGTGACCACGGTTCTCAGTTCACCGTGTTCGGTAGAGGGGACGTGGTAGAGGGGACGTGAAGTGCCTGGCACCCATGTGGGTTTCCCTGTGGGATTCTGACCCGCTTTGGAGGTGCCTCCTGCTCCTCATCCCACACCTCTCCGTGTTTCTCATCCTGGCGGCTGTGTCCTGTCTACCCCTCTCACCTGCAACACGCTGGAGAGGTCGGGACCCTGTCCTGCTCATTATCTGTCTACTAAAGAACCTAGCAAAATGGAAAAACAAGAATATGTGCTGAATTAATTATTAGCTTAAAATTTAAAACTTAAATAGCATGATTTGAGTGCAGCCAGCAACACCTGCCGTGAGATCGGCGCTGTCTACAGGAGGATGGAGCTCTCAGTGAACTGCCGAGCTGGGAGTAGCCATGGGCTACCTTTACTCAGACCCAAAACGTGGAACCTTAGAGTTTAAAAGGCAGGAAACTCTACAGTTAAAAGCCAATATTAAGGTTAAGTCCATTAATCTAAATTAATCTGATTTTTTATTTCTTTAAATGAAAAAGTAATCCTATGCAATCAAAGGTAAAGTTTATATGTGGTTCCCTATGATTTACGACATTCCCTGAAGTGTCAAACAAAAAAAAAATAAAAAAGAAAAGAAAACCAGCTTTGGTTTCTGATGGCGACGGCCTGCTGTTGGTAAGTATCTGTATGAGCATCTTATAACCATTTTTCAGCCCAGCTTTCTGGAATTAATGCTAATGAAAGCTGCCCCTGCCTTCGTCTTCTATATGAACACTGAAATTGCAGCTGCCTGCCAGCCTGCTGAGGGATGAGTGTAATAATTTTCAATTGGCCTCTCAGCCCAGAGGGAACGTGGCTAGCAGGAGATTGACAGATGTGGCATGGATTATCTTGTGCTCTGAACTCAGCCCAATTTGTGGTTTGTTGCAGGTGCTAAAGAGATTGATATCGCAGCAACCCTGGAGCACTTGAGGGACCAGAGACCCGGCATGGTCCAGACAAAGGTACTGTCAGTCTCTCCTCCAGGACATGGACCCATTAAAGGTGCTTCTCTGTGGCCGTGTTCCCGAGAGGAGCACGGGGAGGGCCTGGTTTACTGTGAGCCACAGGAGCACGGGGAGGGCCTGGTTTA